ACTCTCTCTCTGTGAAATAAAAAATAAAAATCCTAAAAAAAAAGAAGCAACTCAAATTTTTAATGATAGAGAGAAGAAGGTACCTGTTTCTTCTCTTAATGGGAAAAAACTGAAAGGCAATATGAAGTCCAGGAAAAACACAAGCCTGCAAGAAAATTATGAGGCAACTAGGTTTTTTGTTTGCTTTTTAAAACTCCACCACCTGTCTCACTTGTTTCACTTATAGTGAGATGCAGAACTATAACTTTTAGAAGACAATGTTGAATATCATTATAAACCTCATAATAGTGAAGGAGCTTTTCAACTAGATAGAAAAAGTGAAGATTATAAAGGAAAGGCTTGATAAATTTAACTACTTTAAGAACTTGTGTTATTCAAGTGTTATTATACAAACAGCAAAAAGACAAGCCACAAACTGGGAAAAGATGTTTGCAATACGTGTAACCGGCAAAGGAGTAGTATCCGGAATCTATAAAACACTACTAAAACTCAATAAGAAAATGACAGAGAGACAAAAGGCCTGAATAGGTACTTCATCAAAGAGAGAATACAAATTGCCAACAAAAATAGGAAAAGATGCTTAACCTCATTATTTTTTTTTTAAGAAATTTTATGCTGGGTCCATTTTTTTATTTTTTATTTTTTATTTATTTATTTAGATTTTATTTATTTGACACAGAGAGAGAGAGATCACAAGTAGGCAGACAGGCAGGCAGAAGGAAAGGGAGAACAAGGCTCCCTGCTGAGCACAGAGCCCAGTGCAGGGCTTGACACCAGGACGTTGGGATCATGACCTGACGCTGGGATCATGACCTGAGCCCAAGGCAGATGCTTAACCAACTGAGCCACCCAGGCGCCCCAGCTTAACCTCATTATTAATCAGCTAAACACAAAATTAAATCACAATGAGATCATTTACCAACCACCCAATAGCCAAAAATTTAAAGTCTACATGCACACATCATAATCACCCAGTCCCTAGTGTACCTTAGAGTTTGCTTTTGGTGTTGTACATTCTATGGTTTTGGACAAATAGTTAATGACATATCCCCATCACTATAGTATCGTAGAGAGTATTTTCATTGCCCCCAAAACCCTGTGTTCCATCTATTCATCCCTCCCCTCCCCATCCCCTGGCAACCACTAATCTTTTTATTTTTATTTTAAAGATTTTATTTGACAGCGAGAGAGGGAACACAAGCAGGGGGAGCGGGAGAGGGAGAAGCAGGCCTCCTGTGGAGCTGGGAGCCCGATGCGGGGCTCGATCCCAGGACCCTGGGATCATGACCCGAGCCGAAGGCAGACGCCCAACCGACTGAGCCACCCAGGCGCCCCACCACTAATCTTTTTACTGTCTCCATGGTTTTGCCTTTTCCAGAATGTCATATAGTTGGAATTGTACAGGATGTAACTTCTTCACATTGGCTTTTTTTTTTCCCCACTCAGTAATAGACATTTCAGTTTCCTCCATGTCTTTTCATGGCTTGATAGCTATTTCTTTTTAGCACGGAATAATATTCCATCAGGTAAGTAAAAATGAAAGGACTGATTTGCCCTGTATAGGTGATGGTGGTGGGGTGGGGGTGGTTAGTCGGAGAGGGATGGGAAGGGCATTCTTGACCCCATCCTGGAGGGTGTAAGTTGTTACTCTGTCTTTAATTTTGCAGTTTCACATTTAAAGACATGCTCTTTGATCCAGCATTTCTACTTCTAGCAATCTTTACTAGAGTCACACAAACTTGGTCACCTCTTGAGGGCTTCTCTCATCTCATGAGCCTAAATTCCCAGGTGTGAGTTTTTAATTTTGTCAAGGAAATTTGATTCCAAGGAGACCAATCCCTCACTCTTTCTCTGGCTCCTTTTCTTCATCCTGTGCTTGATGAGCTCCTGTCCATCATTCATGTATTCAAATCAATGTTCCTCTCCAAAGAGGTCCTCCTGACTCCCCATACTAAAGTAGGTCATCCTCTCCCCATTCTGATTTCCTCTTTAGAGCATAATTGACATTTTTGTGTTTGCATGTTTATCTGTGGGACTATTTATTTTGGGTCTGCCCTCCCCACAAGAGCAAGGTCTGTGACTGCTCTGTCCCCCAGTATGTCCCCAGGGTCTGAACTGGCCTGACTCATTGAAGCACTCAATTGGATACTGCCTGTCCTTGTCCTGAAACCTGATCTGGGTTCACCCCCAGGCTTGCTTTGAAGCAGATATGCCAGGGAACTCACCCAGAGGCTTGCCCAGAGTCCATTATATGCAGGGAGCAAAGTCTGGGAGCCTGTTATCCCCTTTCTGGGAGCTTTCTGGGAGCTGGGAGGTCCAGCCAGAATGGATGAATCACACAGCAAAGACCATTAATTGTTGCCATCAATATAATCTGTGACTGGAGCAGGGGCAAATGAAACTTGTGTGATGCCACTATCAGGCTAAGCCTTCCTGGACCCCACAAGGGATCAGTGTCTCCCTATTCTTGGCCTCTGGCACCATGAACCTCTTGCTTGATCCTCTTTGCCTGAACATACCACATTGTCCAGCACCATTCCTAGGCTGACTCCTCCACTTGACATTGCACTCCTTCCAGGGAGGCCAGCAGGCTACTTTTATCCCCAGAGGACAGCACAGGGAGCTGCAGGCAGAGAGAAAAGGGGTCAACAGTAGGGGCCCCGATGCCCCAGCCTACCACATACCATACCCTTCAACATTCTGGACCTTGAGATGTTTGCAGCCAAATGCCAGCCAAATGCCAGGATGGCTCACTCCCTCACACCTCGAGATCCCTGTCATTACTGGGGGAAGTGATCTGGCTTTCCAAGCCTGTAGTGGGATCCTTTACTTCATCCCCAGTTCAGTTAGAACTGTAAGCGCTGAAGTCAGAGATGGGAGTTTGAGGTCTATCCCATATATGAAGCTATGTAACCTGAGCCTAAGTTGCAGTCCCCATTGATAAAATCAGGTTTTGTTTTTTTTTATTAAAGACTTTATTTGGGGCGCCTGGGTGGTTCAGTCAGTTAAGTGGCTGCCTTCAGCTCAGGGCATGACCCCAGAGTCCTGGAATCAAGCCCCGCATCGGGCTCCTTGTTCAGCGGGGAGCCTGCTTCTCCCCTGCCTGCTGCTCCCCCTGCTTGTGCTCTCTCTCTCTCTGTGTCAAATAAATAAATAATCTTAAAAAAAAAAGATTTTATTTATTTATTTGAGAGAGAGCTTGAGCAGGACCAGGGGAAAGGAGCAGAGGGAGAAGGTGAGCTCCTGCTTTGCAGCAAGGATGGGGGTCCACAATCGAGGTCCCACCAATCCAAGGCCACACTTGGGCTGAGAAAAAGAAGCTAGCAACCTCCAGAATATCCCTTCTAGCAACTGATGGCCAGAGAGAGGCAGCCCACTAGTTTCCAGAGGTAATGGGCACACTCAGCTGACAACTGTCAGTCCCGGCACCAAGTCCATGCCCCAAAGTTTGTGTGTGCTCAATTCTGTGTCCCTGTTCTTCCCAGAGGTTCTGGGAGGTCCCCCCCCCCTTCTTCCTTTCTCCCTCTACCTCTGCCTTTCCCCCTCATTGCCTCCCTCCAGGCTTATCTGGGAGGTTCTCTAAGGTTCTGCACTCTGGGCCCAGATATCTCATCACCACCTGTATCCTGCAGCTGCGGCCATGGCCGCTTGCTCCTCCCTCAAGCAAACAGATGGGAAAAATCTGACCTTCCTTCATGAGGGAGACAGGTCTCTGCCAGCCTGATCCACCCTCTCCTTGCAACTGTAGTCTCAGAGCAAAACCCCCCTCCTCCCTTCGTCCTATTGTGTGACCTTGGACAAGCCCCTTCAGTTTTGTGTTTAGCTCGTCAAACCATCCAGACTGTAAAGTCTAGTATCACAAGATTATTATGCCTATTTCTGTAGGTAGGATCGTTACTGTCAAGACAAATCAAACGTTCACGCCAGTTAGCTGGGCAGGTGATGCGAGTATGTGGGCTCCCAGGAGATGGGGCAGAGAGGCTACAGGGAGACCACAAGAGAAGAGGCATCTTGTCTGATTTCTTTCTGAAAGAAACGAGTGAATATAAACGCCAACATCTTCGATAGAGTGTGGTGGTGGGACATGGGGGGGCGGGGGGACGAAGTCGGGAATGTGTGTGTGTGTGTGTGTGTGTTGGCGGGGGGGGGGGGTGGGGGGGTATACAGACTTCAGGGGCCAGCTCACCGCAGTGCCTCTTCTCTGCTCCCAGGCAGGGCTGGGACCCCCTTCTCAGGGGCTGGATGATGCATCCAAAAGGAAAAGAGACCGAGGAAGAAAGGACTCAAGGAGCAGCCAAGCGGTCTGAACTTACTCCCTGTGCCCAGAGGAAGTGTGGACACAGCTCTGCTTTCGATGAAGTGTGCGCCTGATGGGAACCCAGCTGCTAAGGAGGACTCAAAAGAAAATTCAGAAGCAAGAAGAAACATGGAGCTTTGGGGACTCAGTCCATTCATACTACAGAGGAGGACTCCCCAACTCCTGGCCCCTCCCAAAGCGGCCTGCGCCCCGTGTGCCCGGCTCCCTCCCCAGCGCCACAAGTGGGGGCCTCCGCCAAGGTTAGGGGTGTGCCGCAGTGGATGACGCCCAGCTGAAGCTGCTAGGGCCGCGCGGCAGCACCAGGTCCAGGGCGAGGTCGCGCTGCTCGCTCTCGGAGGCGACGGGCCGGTAGCCCAGCAGCTGCAGCGCGCCAGCACACAGCTCCTGCACGCGGCGGATCTTGGCGAAGGGCAGTGCGTGGCGCCAGGCCTGGGAGACATTGACCGCGTCCCTGGACGAGGTCTTGAAGGCCTCGCGGCGCGCGCCCAGCCCGGCCCCGTGCGTGATGTTGTGGATCCAGGCCTCGAGCTGCGGCGTGAGGCTCAGGCCCGCGAAGGCGTAGAGCGCGCGGATCTCGGGCAGCGGCGCCCGCGCCAGATCCTCGAAGCGCACCAGGCGGTAGCGGCCTTGCAGGAAGGGCGGCGGCTTCTGCGTGGCGGCCTCGGCGATGCGCACGTGGCTGCGGCACACCTCGCGCACCACGCGCAGGCCGGGGTCGGCCTCCACCCACGTGCCGTTGGTGCCCAGTACGATCCCGTTGTCGCGCGCCAGCGCCTTGGCCGTCTGCTCGCGCGAGCGCAGCACGGCCCGCGGGTCGCGCACCAGGTGCACGATGCGCAGGTTGAGCGCGGGGTCGTTGAGCAGCTGGTAGAGCACCTGCAGGTTGAAGAAGCGCACCTCCTTGAGCACCACGTGGCTGTAGGCGCGGCAGGCCTCCTGCGCCAGGCTGAAGGGCTGCCGCGCGCACAGCGGCTTGCACACCGCCTCGCTGCTGATGGCGCCGCGCGGGAAGGCGCTGCAGGCGGGCGGCGAGCACAGCGCGCGGCTCACCGCGTACTGGAAGAGGTCCGACAGGTTGCGGCGCCACGGCAGGTAGGCGTCGAACACGTCCAGGTCGCACAGGAAGACGGAGCGCACCACGTCGCGCACGGCCATGTGCAGCGCCGGCGCGCTCGCCTGCGACAGGGTGGTCCACACGTGCCAGCCGGGCTCCATCAGGTAGAAGACGTCGGGGTGCTGGCTGAAGAGCTGGCCCACGAAGGACGAGCCCGAGCGCCACGAGGACAGCACCAGCACGTGCACCCGCTCTTTGCCGACCGCTGGGGACGGCGGCCTGGGCCAGGAGACCAGGAAAAGCAGGATGCCAGTCTGCGCCAGCAGGAGCACGGTCACCGCCGTGCTGGAGATGCGCGGCAGCCACATGCCTCCGGATGGGGGCCTGCGGGAGGAGGAGAGCGCAGTCGTTAGGGACCGCGGGCCCCCTCGCCCTCCCGCGCCCCAACGGCCCCCACCCCCACCCCGGACTCGACCACCCGACCTGTGGGGGCCTCCCCGGACTATGGCCGTCTCAGTTGGGCACTCTCCCGGGACTATGACTTTAAGACATCAGCCAAGATCTAGTCTATGCAGAGCAAAAGGCCAGCTGCAGAATGCGGTGGAAATACATGTTCGTCCTTACCGCCTCCCTCTCTCTTCCCCCCCCCCACTTTCTCTCTTTTTTTTTTTCTGGAGAGGGAAATATTATTTTTAAAACAGAATTCCCACCTTTTGTTTCAGAATTCCTTTCAGGGAGACAAGTTTAGGTTGTTTAGCTCGAGTTTGGTGGGTGATTTGACTCCCTCACCAGGCTCAGCCGCTTCCTAGCCTGTGATCCTGGACCAAACGATTAATCTGTCTGTAACTCAGTTTATCCATCTGTAAAAAGGGGATTAATACTGGTACTGGAGTAATGGAATGAGCCTGGGGGGCGGGGCATGTCGTAACTCCGGTAACTGGTAACTTGCCCTTGTACTTCTGTGTTGTCTGACTTCTTTTAAACAAGCAGATTCAGCTTGCATTATTAAAAAGTAAATAAATGGGGGCGCCTGGGTGGCTCAGTCGTTAAGCGTCTGCCTTCGGCTCAGGTCGTGATTCCAGGTCCTGGGATCGAGCCCCACATGGGGCTCCCTGCTCTGCGGGAAGCCTGCTTCTCCCTCTCCCACTCCCCCTGCTCGTGTTCCCTCTCTCGCTGTGTCTCTCTCTGTCAAATAAATAAATAAATAAAATCTTAAAAAAAAAAAGTAAATAAATGACATAGACAAAGCACAGCAACTGTTGCTATCTACAGGGAGTAGAGTGCTACAGGATGCATGAACTGCAGAGGGAGGGTACCCTTCTGGAGCTGTGGGAATGTGCAGAAGAAAGCAGTAAAGGGAGAGGTGACGGCAGTCAAGCTCCGGGCCACCATTTGCCCTTTTCCATGCCGAGGTTACTCACTGTAGCCCAGGGCTGCTGGGAGAGCTGCCCACCTCAATCACAATCCATGGAAGATGCCTGCAGGTTTTTCAGGGCCTGAGAGAGCAGGAGGGAGGCTGGGTCAGAGCCTCACAGGAGGAGATAGCCCGACACAGTGGGAGGGCTTTGCATTCCCAGACGGACAGAAAGTTCCCTGCAGGTGGGAACAGAACCGCCCAGCCCCTGAGCACATTTTTCCAAGTGGATGTGAACTGATGGTGTACCCTGCTGGGTGGAGTCTGGACTGCGGTGAGCCCTCTGATGCCACTTAGGAGCTCTGAAACCTGGGGCAAATGACTTGACTTCTCCAAGGCTCAGTTTCCTCCTCTGTAAAATGAGGATGGTAACATTTAGCCTCTTGGGCTTGTCACGAAGAAGCTGCTACCAACACAGATGAGGGAGGGCTTGCTAGTGCCATACATCCACCCCGTGCTCCTGCTGGGGGTGCTGTGTTGGGAGAGGAGGCACCGGGGAAGGTCTCCACCTGGATGAGAAACCCTGAGGTCGCCTACATCTGCAATCCCAGCATCTCCTGTGTCCACCCCCAGGTCCTTTACTAGATCTTAAGAATATCACACCTGTCCGGCAGACTGAAAGGGACACGGAGCCAAGCTCACGCACCCTGAGGTCCCAGAGTTTTTCCCTCCTTGCACCTGTTGCTTGCTCTTGCCACGATCTCAAGGAAGAGCTGCTTTGGAAGGTAGGGGCCTGAAAGTTTCCTCCTTGCTTTCACGGCCTTTGCTCCCCTCGAAGCCCCCTCCACTGCTCATGTCACCACCAGGAGAAGCCAGGTCAAAATCATGAGCAGATCCCACTTATCCAGAGGCTGCCAGAGTGGGTGGAGGACAGGGGAAGTGGGACCCCCAACCCAGGCCGCCTTCCATCTCTAAGTTCCTGGCACATTCCAATTACAGTCAGCAAGTCTCTCCCATTCCTGGGAGCACTCCCATTCCTGCAGAGCACTCGACCCTGGTGTTTGGCCCAAACACAGCTGCTATGGCCAGCCCAGCCCTTTCCTGGCTCGGGAGGATCTTGACCGTAGGCCACCAATGTGTGCTACCTGCCCTCCGGGGAAACCAGAGGTTTTCTTAGGTGACTCACAAATACGGAACTGACGTCTGATCCTATTACCGGAACTCGAGAACGAGTGCGGCTCATTCGTAAAAGAGCTGAAGCAGGGCGCCTGGGTGGCTCAGTTGGTTAAGCGACTGCCTTCGGCTCAGGTCGTGATCCTGGAGTCCCGGAATCGAGTCCCGCATCGGGCTCCCTGCTCGGCAGGGTGTCTGCTTCTCCCTCAGACCCTCCCCCCTCTCATGTGCTCTCTTTCTCATTCTCTCTCTCTCAAATAAATAAGTAAAATCTTAAAAAAAAAAAAAAGAGCTGAAGCACACAGTGCGCTAGGAGCACACTTCCTTTGTCATATAACCCTTTGTTTTCCCTGGAGTTAAATTGCCCTAGAGATTAAAACTGTAGGGTTGAAAGATAAAACTGAAGAAGTAGAGAAGGTAGAACAAAAAGATCAGTGATGGATAAAAGATGGAAAACAGATAAAAGAAATCAAGAGGATCAATCCGGGAGGTCGAACGTCCAACATCCAACGCTGTTACCCTAGCAGGGCTCACAATCTAGCTAGGAACCTCAAAGACCCACCCACGAAGTGGCCAAGGGAGCAGATGGTGGTCCGAGTGAGTGGCCCAACTATCCAGGTGCCAGGAGGGTCATGGTAGTCCTGGCATGCATATTTCTCTCCTGGATTCTGGAAAAATCCCCCAGCCAGTCTCCCTGCATTTCATATTGCATAGAGCCACCAGAGCTGCCTACGCTGTATCTGATCCTGTCATTCTCCTACTCAGCAACCTTCCGCTTTCCAACCTCACTTCCCATAATCCGCCCCCCCCACCCCCCGGCACCCTGTGTGTCAGATCATCTGGAATCATTCATGTTCCCCTCTGCTCTGCTGTAAGTGTCCAGCCCTGACTCCCCCCGGGGAGTCATCTCAGCTTCCTCCTAAGACACCTCACCTGTGCCTCTTTCAAGGCATGTATCACTCTGCCCTGAGTGACACTTTGCCTCCCCTTCTTGCCTGTGAGCAGCCTGAGGGTCAAGACTGTGGCAGTTTTGCAAATGAGTGTGTCTGTTCCCAGGCACCCAGTGTGGGGTGCAGTCCTGCAACAGGTTGTTGCACTAGACAGGGTTTGCTTGGGTCCACTCAGTTCTTGTTCCTCCTTATTCTGCTAACGGCCTCTAGATTTTTCTTTGAGGAACCACCCTCACTCACACAAAGTGCATGTGGTTTGCATGGGGCTGACCGCCCACTTCGTGGTTCTTAGGGAGTCAGCTATCTCAAGCCTGGTTCATCTCTATATTCCATACACTATCCCCTGACCAAGCGATGGGCTTAGCAATGGACATCTGCCCCAAGTCCAATCCCAGGATTTTTGTAGCTCTGCAGGGAAGAGGGAAACTGCCTGGGTGTAAAGCCAACACAGAAGACAATTATTGAACAGGGAAGGAAAGTCTGAGAACCCGTGAGCAGCTGGTAGCATCTGGATCCAGCTGGACAAGATTCACTCATGGACTGCCCAGTTGGGGAAAATGCTCCATTTTTTGTCAAGCCAGCGTGACTTCAGTTTCTGCCATTTACAATCAAGTGTTTGATTAGAGAGTGGGTCCCCTTGGGGGGATGGGGTGAGGGCAGAACTGTCAGGAGCAAAGCCGGAGCTTCTGGGGGCTGGTCATGCTGTTTCTTGATGAGGTGCTAAATACATGGGTGTGTCATCAAGCTGTATTTTTATGACTTGTGCTCTTTTCTGTATGTATGTTGTATTTCAATAAAGAGTCAAGAATCCCGGGGCGGCTGGGTGGCTTAGTCGGTTAAGCGTCTGCCTTCGGCTTGGGTCATGATCCCTGGGTCCTGGGATGGAGTCCCACATTGGGCTCCTTGCTCAGGAGGGAGCCTGCTTCTCCCTCTGCCGCTCCCCCTGCTTGTGCTCTCTCTCTCTGACAAATAAATAAATAAATAAAATCTTAAAAAAAAAAAAGAGTCAAGAATCCTGACTGAATAAGACAGACAGTAAGTGTCATGTCCAGGAATGTCCCAAAGACTGAACGAGTAGATGATATTAATAAATATTTGCCTAATTGAAGTCAGATACTCTGTGATCTAGATCCAAAGGGAGGAATTCCCTACGTATCCCACATTTCTTCCTGCTAAGCATTTTACTTTATTTTTATTTATTTTTTTAAGTAGGCTCCACGTGGAGCCCAACACAGGGCTCAAACCCACAACCCTGAGGTCAAGACCTGAGCTGTGATCCCGAGTCTGATGTTTCACCGACTGAGCCACCCTGGCGCCCCCTGAGCATTTTAAAATGACAGTATCTTCTAAATATCCCTGACTGTTTTGTTGGCCTGAGAGACATAGGAAGGAACTATTGTTCTATCTGACTGGCAGATGTGAAATCTGAGCTTCAGGGCAGGATGGTTCACTGTAGGAGGGGGGTGAGCCTGAACCCAGGAACCCAGCTCTCTGGGAAACCCTCACCAGTACCCCAGCTCTGCATGCCCCTCACTCAGCAGCCTCTTTCAGCCCTGGCAGGGTACCTAAGGAAGTGAAATGTAATACTAGGTACAAATTCATGGCTCAGATCTCTCTCAATTTGGCATCGGCTGGAGGCCATCCTGTTCAGGAATCCCAAAGATTAGAGAAAACAAATTCCAGATGAGGGATCACTAGACTCTTGGCATCAAGGGCCACCCCTGGGGGCAAACCAGCTCTAATGGAGCCCAGGGCATCTGTTAGGGAGAAGGTTAAAAAGGAAAGAAAGGGGCGCCTGGGTGGCTCAGTCGTTAAGCGTCTGCCTTCGGCTCAGGTCATGATTCCAGGGTCCTGGGGTCGAGCCCCGCATTGGGCTCCCCACTCAGCAGGAAACCTGCTTCTCCCTC